ATTTTCCTGCAACTGTTGGAGACTTTCTTCCTGTTTCCTTTCTTGTTCCAGTTGCCACTGCTGTAGTCTTTCTTCTTGTTTATTTTCTGTCTCCTCCAACCACTGCTGTAGTCTCTCTTCTTGTTTATTTTCTCGTTCTTCTAGTTTCTTTTCTTTTTCCTCCAACATCTGCTGTAATCTCTCTTGTTTCTTTTCTCTCTCCTCCAACCATTGATGTAATCTCTCTTTTTGTTTATTTTCTCGTTCTTCTTGTTTCTTTTGCTGTTCCTGTATTGCTGCCATCAAATCTGCTAAGCTGTAGTTTGATTTGCTACTTCTCATTTCCATTTTTTTCTTTTCTGTCCCACTCTCTGACACCAATTTGTTACGTATCTGTTTGTTTGATAATTTCCCGTAAAATTTCTTTCCGAGAAACTTTAGCAATACAAGTCCTTTCTTAATTAAAACTAGTTTATTCTTTCTCGTTACAGACTTTGTAATACACTTAATTTCCACAGTCACTTTAAACTTTACTACTTTTATAAACACACGCTATAATTCACGGCGATTCACACACTTTACTTACGGTGCCTAATGCTCGCTTGACTCGAATTATTTCTCTTCAATCTATCTCCGGCTTATATACTAAAAAAGAGAGGGCACCTAGAACAGACTAGAGTTGTCAGGAAAAGTCAAGATCCTTCGAGAATCTCATGACGTGTTACCAGTGTCACGTGACTTCGCTGTCGTAACAATATATATATATATATATATATACATATACATATCGCCTAGACCACTACCAAATTTTGTTGTATCCCAGTCGTTCTGATGAGCCCCGGTATTGGGCGAAAGGTTTCGTTAGCACTGGATTTGGTGTACTGTGGTTGACATATTATAATTTTATTCTCCTTTACTTTCACTCATGAGTTCTTAGAATTAACGATAGTATTTTGTCTACAGCACGAGAAAAGTTCTTGCTTTGCGATCTAGTTCGGATTATTAAAACACTAATTTTGCTCGAAATAACAATTGATAAAACTAAGAAGTTCGGTAATTTCCATAAACCAGATCAATAAGAGTGTAAATATACGTTTTACTATGTATACATATAAATAATTACTCTAATTTACCGTAAAAATAACTAATTAGTCAAATCACACATAAGAGTATCCAACAGTATATCTAATGACCAGGTTATTATTAAACTCTCGTCGTTTAAAATCAAACCGTTTGGTATGAAATAACGATTTAAAATTTATTAAATATGATCTTTCCAGATTCCACATTTTGGTAAAGTGTTACCTGCTTCTCCTGCTCGACAGATGTAATCCCCTGGTGAGTAGATCTGGGATCGTAGTTTTAAAACCAGCTCACAAAGAAACCCATTTTCACAATGTTCGAAAATCTGAACCTGCCACAGAGACGCGAGTTAATTTTGTTACAAAATTCATATGAGTTATATTTCCCAAAAATCAAACTTCTCATAGAGAGGAGAGCTGGGTCTTTTACAAAATCATAAGAAGTTTTCTACTTTCAAAAATCTAAGCCTATCATAGAGAGAGAAAAAGAGTTGGACCTGTTACAAATTGCATAGTATTTGGTGTTATAGTTCCCAAACAGCTGAATCTGCCAAAGAGAGAAGAGATGGGTTTGTTAAAAAATTCACACAATGTTGTGTTATTCTTCCTCAAAATACGAGCCTGTGAAAGAGAAAACAATATGTTCGGCCTGTTTCAAAATTTAAAAGATGTTTTGTTATACTTTCCATAAATATGGACATAGCAAAGAGAAAACAGTGGTGTCTTGTTACAAAATTCGCACAATGTTTATTAATACTTCCCAAACATCCAACCTATCATAGAGAGAGATGAGTTGGGCCTGTTACAATGTTCACAGTATTTTGTGTTATACTACCCAAAAATCAAATCTATTATAGCAAGAAGAGTTGGATTTATTACAAAGTTCACAGTATTTTGTGTTATACTACCCAAAAATCAAACTTACTATAGCAAGAAGAGTTGGATTCATTACAAAGTTCACAGTATTTTGTGTTATACTACCCAAAAGTCAAATCTACTATAGCAAGAAGAGTTGGATTTATTACAAAGTTCATAGAGTTTTGTGTTATACTACCCAAAAATCAAATCTACTATAGCAAGAAGAGTTGGATTTATTACAAAGTTCATAGAGTTTTGTGTTATACTTACACTAAATGAAACCTACTATATAAGGGAGAGTTGGGTTTGTTACAAAATTGTAACAAGTGTTATACTTCAAAAAATCTGAACCTATCATTGAGCGAAAATTCTGCCTGCTACAAATTTCATAGTATTTTGTGTTATACTTTCTAAAAATCAAACTTACTGCAGAGAGAGAAGACAAAACGATAAGTTTATTACAAAATCCATCTTAAAATAATTTATACATAGAATCTTTTACAAGCACTTAATCTTCTGAGTTGTAGAGATGGACACATATTTCCATATTTGTGCTGATGGCTTATTAGATCGCCCCCCTCAGTGGCACAGTGGTATGTCTGCAGACTTATACTGCTATAAACCAGGTTTTGATACCCGTGGTGGGCAGAGCACAGATAGCCCTTTGTATAGCTTTGTACTTAATAACAAACAACAACTTATTAACTCGTGATGAATGCCTCGGTATACAGACAGGATAGTCCTCTACGTTTGAACATTATGTAAAGAAAGAGTCCTATCTATAATGAGAACGTTATCACACAAAATTGCATTAATTATAATATTTTCAACCATGCTAAAATAAGCGGGGTTCATAAAGATGCAACATAAGAACAAGAAAATTAAAGGAAATTCAAAGAAAAATTATTAAATGTACCTATTATAGAAGTAGATTCCCTGCAGATGATGTTGTTGTAAATAAAAATAACTTTCTCAAGTATAAACAGTAATAATATCATCATACCTTCTTCAAAGTGTCCAGATGAACATGTATTGCAATCTCTGCTCTCAGACTTTGTGGCAGCATGTTTAACAGCCTAGACTCATCAACAGCCTGCGTCCTATGAAGAATCACGACAATCGTAAACAGAATGTGACAAAATATATTAGGCTAACATGCTTAAAATAATCAATCGTATCGGTAAATTGTGTTTTAGACCAAATATATCACAAAAATACTTTAATCGTAATTATACCGGAAATATTAAACCCAGTCCTTCACACTTTGGTCTTACCTACACCAGGAACACTAAACCAGTCCTTCACACATTAAGCTTACCTACAGTACTGTGCAAAAGTGTTAGGACACGTAAATATTTTGTCATTCTTTCCATTTTATGTGGCTAATTCTTCCATGCCGTTAGAGAATGTAAATTTCAATACTATGGTAATACTTCACTGATGCAAATGATGCAATGGCCCCCAAAGAGCCCGATCTCAACCGAATTAAGCAGATCTGAGATTTGACAGATCAAAAACTTGACAAATCAAAAGTTACTTCCAAAGAAACTTTATGGAAGTGTATTAGAGACATTTAGAGTAAAATCCAAAATGAAACTTTAATTAAATATATTGCAACAATGCCTGAAAGACTGTCTGTAATTATTAAAGCAAAAGGGGGACACACAAAATATTGACTGTTTGCTGAACTCAAGCATTTCCACTGAGTTTCTGTTGTTCTAAATATGAAGATTAATAAAATTTGGACAATTCACCTGTGAATTACCTTCCAGTGTTCTTTGAAAGTAGCCTGAAACCTAATTTTTAACTTTGTTCTAACATCTTTGCACACTACTGTACACTAGGAACACTAAATCCAGTCCTTCAAGTTAATCTTACCTACATTAGGAATATTAAACCAAGTGCTTCACACCTTGATCTTACCTACACCAGAAACATTAAACCCAGTTGTCCTTCACATTTTCATCTTACCTACACCAGGTATACTAAACCCAGTCCTGCACTTTAATCTTACCTACACCAGAAACACTAATCTCAATCTTCCACACTTTCATTTTACCCTCACCAGGAACATTAAACCTAGTCCTTTACACTGTAATCCTACCTACACCAGAAACAAGAATCCCAGTCCTTCATACTTTCATTTTACCCTCACCAGAAACATTAAACCTAGTCCTTCACACTTTAATCTTATCTACATCAGGAACACTAAACCCATTCCTTCACAATAATTTTGCCTAAACCAAGAACACTCTACCATCTCCTCCTTCTTAATCACACCTAAACCAGGAATAATCTAATCTTAAAAATGTTTAACTTACCTAGCCCAGGAATACTCTGCCCACTTTTTCACCTTCAGCTGTAGGTAGGCAGGGACTTTTCGATGTGTGAGATAGACCTTAACCTGATCCATCCTGGAAGATGCAATGCAAACAACTTTTAGACATATTATTGTTATAATTCTGTTGAGTATCTTGCATTACATTTTTTTCATGCAGAGAGACAATGTAGACATCTTGTATAACTCATATAAACGTACATTTTAATGTAGACACCTTGTATAATTCATACACACATAACTATTAGTGTAGACACCTTGTATAATTTATACACACATAAATATTAATGTAGGCACACAGTATATTTCATATTTACATGCATGTTAATGTAGATGCCCTGTATATTTCATACATACATACATAATACTAAAATAGACATCTTGTATAATTCATACAGATATGCATGTTAATGTAGACACAATGTAGACACTCAGTATAATTCATTTAGACATCATGACTTTTATTTCCAAATTTTCTTACAATTAAATATTTAACAAAAGTTATGACAGAACAAGATCATATCTGACTAAAGTCACTCAACGAACTCTGTTAAGTGTTATTACAAATGAAAAAGGTTTATATTATTTAAAATACTGGCCTAGTAACTGCTCGAATTTTATCTTTATATATATATATATATATTTCAAAATTGACTTGGTTCAATATCCCGCATTTTTGAATGTTTCGGAGGATTTTTATTATCAGGAAGTAAAATATATTAACTTACTTGGCTTGAAACTCTTGTCTCGTGGCGTTCATGTTGGAGATGACATCACCAACGTTTCCTACAACAGTTGCGAAAACAAAAACACCGACGAGGAAGGTAAGGCCGGTGAAAACATACTCCTGTAATATAATAAGCTGTCAGCATTCCAAAAACTTTCAACCAGATCATAAAGTAATCGAGTCCTACTTAGCGTGTATGTACTTCTCAGGGTTAATTGTACATTATCTTCTGTTTCCTATGAAGGCCATTTGTTTTTGTGTTATTTATTACGAAATCAAAGTGTTTGTAGTTGTGATAAATTAAAACCGTGAGAAAGTGTAATCATAAATTACTTTCTAAGCCATAGAGAGTGAGTTCATATCGTACTTTTACGACAGCGGAAATCACGTGACTCTGGTAACACGTGATGAAATTCTAGAAGGATCATGAATTGTCCTGGCAACTCTAGTCGGTACCAGGTGCCCTCTTTTTTAGTATATAAGTCCGGCAAATAAAGCAGAATTAGATAGATAGAGAAATTGAAGATATAGAGACAGATCATTGAGTCAAGCGAGAGATTGCAAACGTATTGATTGTGGAAATTCTGTGTATTAGAAAGTTGTATCGAGAAAGAATAAACTAGTTTTAATTAAGAGGAAAACTTGTATCGCTGAAGTTTCTCGGAAATTATTTCTACGGGAAATTAACAAACAAACAGATACGCAACACTACTTTCTAAACGCACTACTGTGTAATTGAACCATACTTATCAAATCAATCTCTGGAGATTCTTTGAACCTAGTTTTGTAAAGTCGATTAATCATTTCTACTAGTACTAGCCAAGTACACTTTGTTGTAATTGAACTCTATTTGTAAGTAATTACGAAATCAGTCCCTGAAAATTCTTTAAATCTAAATGAGTTAAATCATTTATACAGCACAAATCGACTTAGGTATAATTGAACTATACTTACCAAATCAGTCTCTGGAGTACTGGTGTTTCCAATTGTCGTCAAGGTCATTGCGGACCAGTAGAAACAAACAATGTATTTTCTAATTTGAAACAAATAAATAAGCATCGTTTTTGTATAAGTATACATTGTAACATTTACGTCTTATGATGACGCTTAAATACCTTAGTGTATCTTAATGCCAAAAAATAAATGGAGGAACTTAATCAAAAAGCGAACAAACTGTTAAATAAAAAAATAATGCATTCTATAATCTCAGCTATAAAGTTTCATAAACCTAGTACTTGAGTAACCTTCCTAAGCCTTACCAATTGAATGTAATGAAGAATGCATAACCTCACCTGATTATCACAGTACTCGATAATCTCGTAGTTAATATAATATTCCTAAGCTTTATCATTTAAATGTAAGAATGCATAACCTCACCATTCATCATAACAGTCGATAATTTCTTGGTTAATATACTATTCTTAAGCTTTATCATTTAAATGTAAGAATACATAACCTCACCCTTCATCATAGCTGTAGATAATCTCTTGGTTAATATACTATTCCTAAGCCTTGCCATTTAAATTTAAGATTGCATAATCTCGCCAAGGTATCATAACAGTTCATAATATCTTGGTTAATATACTACACTATATTAAGCCTTACCAATTATATGTAAGATTGCATAATCTGTGACATCCCAAACATTTTTTGAAATTTCATAACCTCATATAACCTACTAGTTATCATAACGCTCTGCACTTTAACCAATAATTGAAAACATTATTTCCATTTGTTTGTTTCTGGAGAGAAACTATAGCAGTAACGAAAGAGCCAATCAACAAAACATTATTTTCATTTGTTTGTTTCTGGAGAGAAACTATAGCAGTAATAAAAGAGCCAATCAACAAAACATTATTTCCATTTGTTTGTTTCTGGAGAGAAACTATAGCAGTAATAAAAGAGCCAATCAACAAAACATTATTTTCATTTGTTTGTTTCTGGAGAGAAACTATAGCAGTAACGAAAGAGCCAATCAACAAAACATTATTTTCATTTGTTTGTTTCTGGAGAGAAACTATAGCAGTAATAAAAGAGCCAATCAACAAAACATTATTTTCATTTGTTTGTTTCTGGAGAGAAACTATAGCAGTAATAAAAGAGCCAATCAACAAAACATTATTTCCATTTGTTTGTTTCTGGAGAGAAACTATAGCAGTAATAAAAGAGCCAATCAACAAAACATTATTTCCATTTGTTTGTTTCTGGAGAGAAACTATAGCAGTAACGAAAGAGCCAATCAACAAAACATTATTTTCACGTTTTTTTGTTACTTAAAAGAATCCTGTAGCAGTAGGGAAACAGAAAATAATCAAAACATTATATCCACGTGTTCGTTACTAGAAAGAGTGCTGTAGCAAAGGAGAAACAAAATATCATGAAAACATTATTTCCACGTGTTGGTTACAAGAAAAAAACCCTGTGTCAGTGGAGAAGCAAACATTCATAAAATCATTATTTCTATGTGTTTAATACTAGAGAAAATCTTGTAGCAGTAGAGAAAGGGACATTAATGAATACATTATTTCAATGAGTTTACTACAATAAAAAATACTGTAGCAGTAGAGAAACAGACAATCATCAAAATCTTATTTCCATGTATTTGTTACTAGAAAGACGCCTCTAGCATAAGAGAAAAAGAGAATCATCAAAACATTATTTCAACATGTTTGTTACTAGGAAGAATTGTATAGCAGGGCAGAAACAAACAAAAAGCAACACATTATTTCCACATGTTTGCTACTATTAAAAATGATGTAGCAATAGAGAAACAGACAACAATCAATACATTATATCCTTTTATCTGCTAATAGAAAGCATATTGTAGTGGCAGTGAAACAAATATTCATAAAAACATTATGTTTATGTACTTGTTACTGGAAATAATCGTGTAGCAGTAGAGAAATAGTCATTAAAACATTATGTCTACGTACTTGTTACTGGAAATAATCGTGTAGCAGTAGAGAAATAGTCATTAAAACATTATGTCTACACACGATTATTTCCAGTAACAAGTACAGCAGTAAAGAATCAGTCATTAAAACATTATGTTTATGTACTTGTTACTGGAAATAATCGTGTAGCAGTAGAGAATCAGTCATTAAAACATTATGTTTATGTACTTGTTACTGAAAATAATCGTGTAGCAGTAGAGAAACTGAGGATCATTCAAACATGTTATTATCTCATGTGACTGTTAGATCTCATTATTAAAGTTTAACGTTAAGAAACTGGATAACATGACTATTTGTACCTTAGAAATCCAGGTTTTTCTCGATCGTCTTTGTATACCCATCTAGTCGATCCCAATCCCTCGTACTGAAAAATAAAGATAGGAATTAATATTTATTTCCTTTTTAATTAGTCTATTTATGTATGATTGATCTGTCTACATATATCTGACCGTCTGCACAGGAAATCTGTCACCATCTACTTTTCTATTTTTGTTTATCATGTATTTACATTTGTATGTTTATATGCGTATTTATTTAGATTAATATATATGTGTGTGTGGTTTCTTTTGTTATCTTTAGGAAACATTGCTGGATTGTGTAGCTTTGTTAATTCACTTACAGATTATATGTGCACTTTTATGTCTCCTTATTTTTTTGGTAATAAAACAATAATATTTGTCTAATGATTTGTGGTGCTGACTATGTCGTATGTATATTTATGTTTATTCAATTTGTTAGTTTAAAAATTATTATATATCACGCTCTGAACAGATATTTGGGATCAAATGTATAGGAATTTTACCCAAGACACAAAGGGCAAGAAAGGCATTTTCACGAAACTATAGGGAAATAGACGAATATTTTACGGAATTTAGAATCAAAGTTGCAACATAATAATGATCTCCTCCCCTATCTTTCAGCCATCCACTTCTTTATTTAATTATAGTACTGAAATAACTGCAGAAACCAACCTCAACTTATACACTTTTCGTTCGTTTTTATGTTGCTTCTTGTTTTTAGATTGATATTCACCTGTTTCCTTACTTGAAGATGTCTGGTGATCTATGTGTTATGTTCTGTTGTTGTTTTTCAAATATTTCCTCAGATCTGGAGCCATTTGTCTTTTTTCCCACGACTTTTAATTTAGAAGTTTAAATTTCTTTTCCTAAACCATCATTTGTTCTTTTCCCACATTTCTTTCTTAACCTCACCCTTCTCTTACTCAGCTGCTTCTAGTATTATCTGTGCTACTCAAGCACTTTTGAAATCCTTCTATCACAGCACTTCTGCAAGTAACTCATTTAATGTATCTAATCTCCTTAAAAGTCCTTTCAGCATCAGAGTTCCCATTGGATAGGACCAAAGCAGTCTCCCCTGTTTTCCTCAGATAAAGGTATCGGTACTATCTTAGTTTCTGCATACATTACATTATATCTAATACTCGGTAGTTTCTGCTCTACCCCACTGATTTAACTAGTGGTCATAAAAATAAAGCTTTAACAACCAAATGTACCGGAAATTTATCTTATGACCTGGCATTTCTGCTCTTTATAGCGCTTCACATAATACTCACACTGTAACAGCCATGAAATACAAAATATAATGTATTATAGAGCAAGAGCTTTTCAACTTGTTAGTCCTATTTAACATAGTTTTCATACATAAAAAATATATCATAGCTTTCTATAAAAAATATCAATATTTAAGAACATTCTGAGCAACAGTTCGTCAGATAAGACTGTAACTAAGGGAAGAGGTATTTAGGTTAGTATCACTTAACCTGGAGTTCAAACTCTGACGAAAACTGCAAAACAAGCAGCAGTATATTTTGAAATGACTACAGTGGTTAAAAGTTCTTCTAATGTGATATCAACTGCACATGTAATGATGTGCTACTTCATATTCCAGATTTCTACTTATATATAAAATCACCTCTTACATTTCTACCGTATTTGCTGAAAATCAAATCTTGAAGAAAAATCAAATTCCAACAAACATGTCCTCCGCGGAAATTCAAAGTTCAATTTCCCACAGTGAACAAAGCGCAGATAGTCCATTGGGTAGTTTTGCAGTAAAAACTAACAAATAAATAAACCAACACACATGCATGGTTGCAACAAAAATAACAAACATATAAGATAGTTGATAGTCAAAATGATGCCCTTTGTGTTTATGTTGATGTATGTACATGCTTATTGTTGTAAGCTATATTTTTAACTTTTTAATTTAGGTATTCGCTAGAAGGCGCATGATGTTAAGATCTAGGAAGTTCATGAAATTTAAGAATCGGGAAGTTTCGTGTAATATGTAGAAACAAGGAAAATATATAAGTAACCAGTGATGATTGAGTCAGTTCAGTATCAGAAAAGTTAATAAGTGTTAGAAGTAAGCGCTGTCGCGTTAATTTTGCTATTCATATAGTCAGTAAGTACGTACCATTAGTCTCGAAATTTCTGCTCAAACGTTGTTCTTGAAGCTAGGCCTCCATTTGTTTCGGAGCTTGTGTTTAAATGTTTATTTATAGAATTAGGCCTACGAGTGAACGTGGCTGTAGCAAACATATAAATGTGTTGTAAGCGATATTTTCAATGTTTTAATTTAGATGTTAGGTAGAGGTCGCAAACGTTACTAAGGGAGTAAATTAATTCGCTGTTGTTTTATGAACTGAATTTGGCATTATTTTTTCCAAATAAAAATAATAATAAAGCAATCGCCAAATGATAGAACACTTTACAACAATATTTGAACCTAATTTGCTCCAACAGTGATAAGTTTACTTAACAAGTTTACAAATTTTGATGTGAATCTGTGACAGTTTAATAAAACGTTTCTTAAGGTTAAGAATAGATACTAATAGATACTAAATTAGAAAACAAGCGTTCTCTGAGACAATGCAATAGGAACTTTTCTTGCTAGCAGAACAAACACCTTCATTCACTTTAGAATAAATGTGTTATAAGCGATATTTTCAATGTTTTAATTTAGATGTTAGGTGGAGGTCGCATGACGTTAAATTAGTTATTCAATGCCTAGAAAGTTCGGGAATATAGTGATCCAGAGATTTTGTGAAATGTCTAGAAAAAAGACTACGTTATAAATGCGAGAATCGGCGGGCATTGAGTGGAGTCAGTCAGTTTAGTTCAGTGAAGTATTTGGATCAGTGTTAGTTATCGCAAATATTCAGTTATTCGATCGATTACCCATGAAATTGTACATGTAAGTTTATTTGTACGTAAGTCGTAGCACAATTAGCATGGTCTACAATTTACAACAGTGTACACGTGAAGAAAGCCTGTAGAAATGTTAAGGAAGAAATAAACGATTTTTTTTATCGTTACGTGAACTAAACTTAAATAATTTTCACTGAATAATTTAAAATAACCAGCCCAACGAAAAATTTAATAACAACCTTGCTAGTTCAAAAAAATAAATGTCTTTGTGTTCACCGAGCTAATACATTTTCACGTAAGAGTTTGTTTGTTTTTTGAATTTTGCGCAAAGCTACACGAGGGCCATCTGAGCTAGCCGTCCCTAATTTAGCAGTGTAAGACTAGAAGGAAGGCAACTAGTCATCACCACCCACCGCCTACTCTTGGGCTACTCTTTTACCAACGAATAGTGGGATTGACCGTCATAGCCCCCACGGCTGAAAGGGCGAGCATGTTTGGTTTGATGGGGATTCGAACCCGCGACCCTCAGATTGCGAGTCGAGTGCCGTAACCACCTGGCCATGCCGGGCCTTCACGTAAGAGATGAAATAAAATACGTACTTAAGACAGCGAAAAGAATCTAGTCAAAAGAACGAATGTTTATATAACTATGTATTTCATATTATGTAATATAAAATTTTCTGATTAAACGAACAAATACAAAGGTAATTAAGAATCAAAATAATACTACTGTTGCGTCAGCGAGGTCACGTGACTAGTGCCACGCCCCCTGCTTTCTGGAAATATCTTGTACCTTCGTGAATTGTCGGGAGATTACTAGATATAGGGTAGTCTGGTATATATAAGATGGTCACAACGTGACGGAATCAATGTGTGTGTAGGTAGTGAGTAATTGAACTGCAGTCAGGAAGTATTGTTGAAGTTAACGTTCGTTGTTAAAACGTTTGTAAAAGAGCGACTGTTGAAAATAAGTGTATCGGTAAAGTTATATTCAGAAAGAATGAACCAGTTTTATTAAGTAAAGACTTGTGTCGCTAAAGTTTCGTTGGAACGAAGTTACGGAAAATTAATTAACAAACGGAGACGTAACACTACATTTTTGTATGTATATATATATAAGCTGTAAGCTCGTTGGTTCATAACGCTAAGTTCGGGGTTCAATTCCCGCGAGAAAGACAGCGCAAATAATCTGTTTAGTAGATTGAAGTAAGACATTGAATAAGATAATAAAAATATAGTTAAGCAAGCAAACATCGTTACTTACTTACTTTCGAGAAAATTTAATAAGCAGTTTTTCAGCTATGAAAAGTTCATACATTGAAGAATGTTATTGAAATATTTTCTAACAAAAATAAAAGTCCGGCATGGCCAGGTGGTTAAGGAACTCGACTCGCAATATGAGGGTCGTGGGTTCGAATCCCCGTCACACTAAACATGCTCGTCCTTTCAGGCGTTGGTAAAAGAGTAGCTCAAGAGTTGGCAGTGGGTGGTGATGAGTAGCTGCCTTCCCTCTAGTCTTACACTGCTAAATTAGGGACGGCTAACGCAAATGGCTCTCGTGTAGTCTTGCGCAAAATTCAAAAACAAACAAAAATAAAATTATTGAACAAAATTACCTGTGTGTAATGTAAATTGTCTGAAAGATATATTTGGAGTTATGATAAAAGTATAAGGCTGAGAGAACAATACATTTCATTATACCTCCAAAAGTCGTACACCTGAGACAGTGAAATAACGTAACGGAAGAGTAAGGCCTTTACGTACCTCTGAGACAGTGAAATAACGTAACAGATGAGATAATGATGCGTGCCCCTAAGACAATGAAATGACGCAATGGAAAAGTAAGGCCTTTACGTACCCGTGAGACAAAAAAAATGATGCAATGGAAAATAAGGCCTTTACGCATCCTCGAAATAATGTAATGGGAAAGTAAGGCCTTTTCGTACCCCTGAGATAATGAAGTAACGTAGTGGAAAAGTAAGGGGATTTACGTTCCCTGGGACTGTAAAAACGTAATAACAAAGAAAAGCATTTATGTGAAAACATGATGGAAAATGCATTTATTTACTCCTGAGAAAATGTAAAAACGTAACGGACGAAGGTATTTACGTATCCCTAAGACAGTATAGGAACGTAAGAGAAAAGTAAGGACTTTATGTATCTCTGAAAAAAAATTAAAAACACAATAGAAAAGTCTTTACATACCTCTGAGACAATGTAATAGAGACAACCAATCCAGTGCATTGCAGTCACTAGTGAAAGGATAAGCCGAATAGCCCTGATCCTATTTGGATTGCTGGTGCGGCTGCGTGAAAAATGTTAAATAAATTTCATAACTGTTTCTACTGACAGCAAGAGAATAACAAAGAAAACTGTATGCATGTTAGAAGAAAAATGTATAAAGTATTAACCAAATTATCAAATTAAAAACAAAACAACAACAATGATTATAATAAATATTTAAAAACAACATTTACTATTTACACAATTAAAATGTTATTGAAGCCGTACGGCTTCCACTTTAAAACAACACAAATTACACAAGTGCCGGTAATTCATATTTATAAACAAAAAGATTGCTAAAAGACAGCAGGATTAATTTCTGGAAGAAAAAATGAAGGATAGTGGCTCCGTGTCGATAGGAGTGTGTTCGGCATTTTTAGTTTTAGAAAATAACAATTTAAATGTTATTGAGGCTACTATAAAAAAAAAGATAAAATGACTATCATCCAAGTTGAAAATCAACGCAAATATTTTTGTGCGACGATACATTAAATGAGCTTTTAATCTATTTCAATTAAAAAGGTAATGACTGTTCGTAAAATAATGTTATCTCTCGTATACCTTATGCAGTTTCTGTTCCACACACAACGATTCGTGTCATCCTTTATCTCGCAAGATAGGCATTTTGTATACTTTTGAATTTGTTTTGATAATAATGTTTATGGAGTAAAATAAGGCTTGCCATGGCCTTGTGGTTAGGGCGCTAGACTTGCGACCTGCCGGCCGTGGGTTCGAATTCCTGCACCGAACGTGCTCACTCCTTTAGCCGTGGAGGTGTTATAATGTGACAGTCAATTACACTTTTAAAGCCATTTTTGTTCAACTTTGGGCATGATGATGGGTAAAACACAATACGCGGCCAGCTAACTAGTGAATAAATATTTACTATAAAATTCTTATCAATGCTGTAAGTGTAGCTACCAGTTTGGCCGCCAATTTTGATTTTATTCCTTTAAATTGCACACTCAGTTCTTTTTTTGATAGCACCATTTTTCACACCTAAGGTGTTTTTGATTAGATATAATGTCTTTTGTCAATACACACCAAAAGAAATCATACCAAGTAAGAAATTGACACTCGATAGTAACCAACATTAGCTTTAGGATCGCAACTCTATTATTCGGAACAGACCTTTACTTTACAGAACTAACCAGATTCTTTAAAATATATGATGGTAGTTTTTCCTCTCTAAAACAGTGTTAATAGCTTCTTTTATAATAACGCCATGGAATTTAGATTAACAGTTTCTTGTCATCACCATCATGCAATCGGTACAGCCGTATCAAGCATCATTATTTTGCTAATATCACGCGACGCTAAACACTTTTTAATTAGGATAACGGCACAAAATGTAGTACAATTGTGCTGAAAAGTTGGCCGTCTTTAACCCGAATGACAAAAACTAATAAACGGTCCACTTTTACTCTTAGGTGAAGCCATAGTAAAAATGTTAGACCGATAGCTCACGTGACGTTTTGCGTAGGCGTGCGCAAACATTTCGTCACATTTGAGGGCTTTTGTTGAATAAATTTGCACATATGATTTATATTTACACCAAATGAGACTCTTAAGTATAGGTTGAAAAGATCTATCAGTGAAACAAACTTGAAAAGAAATCCATGAAAGTTGAGTATGTTTTTTTTGTATCCAATAATGTTTCTGTACTTTTGGTACGAAGAAAGAAAGAAAAAGGAACAAGCTGAATGCAAATTGGAAATGTTATATCTTAGGTATAACATTATAAGAGTCCAGTAGAAGTAAGAGTCCAGTGGAGCACATCCAGCGAAAATATGTGATAGTTTGGATTCCAAGATGCGGAAGTCGCTGAACTCTCACTACTGTTAATTTCATAAGGTGTGTCGTGCAGCAGGTTGTTTTAGCCGCACGACATATTACAGTGTGTCTTGATAGTACTTTACCACAAAACTACCTCCGAGTACATGTCAGTCCCCTTCACTTATAAAGCCTTCCACTAGGACCATGATCACCATAATGTGTTGTTATGGTTAGGCAATTAATGACAGATTTACCATTACTAAACAAAGTATTATAGAAGTCTAACTATTAACACAGTGGTAGAGAGAGCACTGGCCTGGTTAGTTAGTGATCCCAAGTTCAAACTTCGGTACCAGTGTCTCTTTTTCACCTGTCAACTTTTTAGCTATAAAACATTTAATATTAGTTATTATGATAATATAACATTACTGTGTTACTAACAATGAACTTACACTGAAATCATTCGTATTCTTAATACTAGAAAGACACGACCTAATATGTTATTTTTTCTTTAAATAAACACTCAACGTTTCGCTTTATAGCTTCTTCAGGAACGTTCCTCTAATACACAAACCATAATTGACACTACAAACCTTCAAATGATTTAAATAATAAATTCTAATCGAATCTATAGCTTAGATTTCTACAGCGTACTTTGACATATTAAGTAGTAAAGCTTATTGTGAGAAGAGTAAATCCACTATACAATTTAAATAAAAATCCATAAATACAGCTTTTGAATGGATTGTTTATTTTTACTTAACTTTTTACGACGTCTCGACCACTCGTGTGGCCATCACTAGGTAACTGTCTCTATTATTATTGAAATAATTAACCGTTACCTGTAGTAAACAAAAGTTCTATAAAGATTGCAGAGCTTCTTTAAATTTTCTCTCAGTGTACTTGGTGGCTTTGGTGACGAGTTGTACAGAGAATGGTGGTTTGAAGTCAGGTGTTACTTTACTTGTCCATGATTAGTTTTAAAATGATCTGCAACAGCACTTCTTTCACGTTGTTCTTTATAAAGAGTGTCAGTATGTTCTTCTATCCTTGTGTCTAGGGTTCTTTCTGTTTCCCCAATGTATGTATGATGGCAGATGTTACACGTAAACTGGTAAACAACATTGGAAACAAGACACCAATATTTAGGTTGCAAGCACGTTTTTTGTAAGACAGTGGGCTTTATTACACTGTAGAGTAGTGTACTGATATTTTGAAAGTTGGTGTCTTCGGATTGGACCTGGCGGTTCTGTAACTTTAATCGGCAGTTCAGATTTCCTGATCATCGTTTATATTTTCTTGGAGATCAGAGGTGTCATAAAAATTATCTTTTTTTTTTGTTATCTTTGGAAATTTTTTTTTTTTCCTCCTTGTTTATCTGTGTTTTCTCATGTTGGAAGTGCGATGCTGATTTTTGCGCGCCATAGCTCTTGAAAATTTGTTCGATGTAAATAGGTGAATATTCGTTGTTCAAAAACAGTGATTTTAATTCAAAGCGTGAAATGTATTTCTCTCACTATAATTTCATCAATTATTTTTAATTCTCCAATAATTGTATCTTTCTTGGATGATGAGAGTTGAAGTTAAAGAAAAGAGGTTTTCTAATTAGTTTGTGAAACAAAGTAGATTGCATATTATTGTCATTGTCGTTCCTGAAGATAACTTCAAGAAAAACTAGACTCTTCTTGTCATTCGAGTGATTCAAGGTGAATTAGATGTTGGGGTCTATGGAGTTTAGAAAGTTTTAAAATTTGATTAAAGAATGAAAACCATGGTTCTATAGTACAAACACATCATTGATATATCTAAGCCAGAAATCAAGGTCGATGTTGGTATTTTGATGCCGCTTGTCAAGTGTAGTTGTTTCAAAAACATGCATAAATATTATAGCATAAAGAACAGCGACTCTATTATCCAATGAGACACCACTTAGTTGGAGATTAGTTTGTTGTCAAAACTGAAATATCCATTGTGAAAGGTGAAATGTAAGATTTCTCTGACAGTGTCTATTGTCAGTCCATACATTTCCAAGTTATTTATGTGATTCGATGTGAATTCATATACTGCACTGACGCCATCTTCTGTCTGTTTAGATGGGTAGAGATCTACAACGTCCAGTGTGAAGAGTGTTGTTGTGTTCGTTACGATCTAAGGTACATCCTTGATTCGCGATAGCTGGTCTTCTGTATTATTTAAGTAATTTAGTAACGGAACTAAAAGTGTATGCACAAGCGAAGACAGACTTTCATTAGCACTGCCATATGCTGAGACTATGGGTCTAAATGGCATATCTAGAAGCTTCTTAGAGAGGTTACTTGTTTTGTAAGTTCATAGATAATGTCTTTTTAGTGTAAAGCGAGTGTCCAATTAAAGAAAAATAATTTTGGTGTTATAAGGTCGTTCATTCCTAGTATTTAAATGTATTTTATACACCAATATGCACTACAGAAATTAAATAAATCATTCGCATTCTTGAAAACGTTAGAAAATCAACTGAACCATACAAATGTTAACAGTATTCTATTAACAGCAACAGAAATTCAGGTCCTTTAAAAATTCAATTTTTATCTTGATCTTTTTATAAATTGATAATAATAATTATTATTTCTTATTTGAAATGTATTTTACTGATCGATTTGTATTGTTATACGTTTGTAACCTTTGCATGTCACAAGTATATTTGTATGAACCACAAGTTATCCCAGTATAATTTGCCAACTAAGTTAATAGAACCTACACCCGATGAGGGTTAAAACACGTCGTATAATGTAAATAGACTTCTAAATCCTTGAATTAAAATACTTAATTATGGTAAAAAATCTCTGTTATTTTCATTGTTCTAGATATCTTAACCACAAATCTATAATGTCCTTTCAAAGAGTAACATATCGTCTCCCGGTGGAATAGCGATAAGTCTACAGACTTGCAACACTAAATTCCGGGGTTAGATTCCCCGCGGTGGATACAACAGAAAGCTCAATGTGACTTTGCTCTACAACAAACAAAGATAACCAACTAAACCAACTAATTCACCAAGTGTTTATCTGGTTATTACTAAATAAGTTAAAAACATCTTATATTACCTATCTAAAAAGTCATAAAACTTGTACGGTGCTCCAACCTTCGCAAGTCTGGTCAAGCGGGCTGAATAAAAAAGAAAATAATACTAAGTATATCAGGAACTTACATAGGCAGCGGAACCTAGTAGCACTGGAGGCACATATCCCCTATTTTGACCCATTAGTGAAGTGCTCCTTGGAATGGGGAATAGAAACTTTTGTATAACTATCATAGAAAGTCGCTGTTTCAGTTTTGAGTTCAATGTCTCGGTTAACATCGCAAATAAAGTGCCTCCAATTATGTTCCGCCGCCTATGTCAGAATACGCTAGGTGTAAGTGATGTAAAAGTCCAAAAAAGTGGATCCAATTATGTTCCGCCGCCTATGTCAGAATACGCTGGGTGTAAGTGATGTAAAAGTCCAAAAAAGTGGATCCAATTATGTTCCGCCGCCTATGTCAGAATACGCTGGGTGTAAGTGATGTAAAAGTCCAAAAAAGTGGATCCAATTATGTTCCGCCGCCT